TCTCTCCTCCTCCTTGCACATGTGTTTAATAAGATACCCACAGATCCTTATGGGAACTATATGGCTGCCATCTTTGGTTCTCAACTCCCTTGGTTTATGCAACTAGAGTAGTCTTTCTCAGCTTCGACCCATTCTAAAATGGTATCCCTGATCAGAGAAAATTCAATGTCGATCCAATCCCAGCAATTGGCGATAGTCAAAAGTCTCCACCACAGGCTGACTTCCTTTATGTTAAATCCCCCAGATGTGCCTCTGGCTTTCCCCCATCCAGATAAACATTGATAGCTAGGTGCATTACTTCTGTAACCATGTTATGAAGGAATAACCATATTTGGACAGTAATTCTTGTAAATCACACTCTTGCTTTAAACATTTATCAGTAATTTATTACTAGAACCACTTTCATTATAACTGAATGGTAGATGTGTGTGTGTGAATTATTAACATAACACTTAACACAGGAAATCGCCATGGAATCATGAACATAGAAATTGAATACAGTATAAATAACATACTTGAGGGTGATTAAGATTAAGATTAAGTCATCTACACAGAGAACATGTATAATTCAGTGGAAAGAATATATTTTTTTTTTTGCAAATTTCATGACCTTTACCCTATTTCAAAATAATGCTCAACAGTAAATCTAAGGAAACTTGAATGCATGCACTCATGACTAATCTATGATTACTTAGCTAGTACTAATTACCGGTACCCTAAATGGAGCAAATCACTGATACTCCACCTGGGACATTCTACCCAGTGGTTAACTGTTGCATTCGACGAAAGGAATGCATACTTTTCCACTCGTTTTTTCTCAGAGGGTTACAATGTCCTGTAGTTATAATTTTGGATGCCGTATGATTTCATAGTTTGGAGGCAATCTTGGGCTGACTGGCTGGCTGGGCTGTGTATAAAAGTGGGACGGGGACAAGGGGACGGGGACATCGGGACGCGTGTGTGGGGACTTGGGGACGCGAGACGAGGGACTTGGGGACGTCAAGTATGCGGGACGCGGGGACGTGTGGGACGGGGACGAGGGGACGTCAAATACAGGGACGCAGGGGACGCGGGATGTGAATAATTATTGCAAGAGTCGGAAGTAAATGCGATATCAGTCACTTTCCTCGTGAATATGTCTTGGTGAACGCAACCGACCCTGCCCTCCTTAGGGTTCCTCCATGCCTGTTTACGAAGGGAAGACTCGGAGAAGACCCCCTGCAATGAAGAAAGTGAAACCGTTGTCTTCGTCTTCTTGTTGATGGAATATTGGAGCCCAAAGCAGGGTAGGGTTGGTTGCGGTCGCCAAAATTTATGTAGAATAACAGCATTCGATTCCAAATAAATAAATAATTAAGTGGCATAAGCGAGCTTCGAACCCCGAAGGGCTAGCTCCGAAATCCATCGCCTGTACCACTAATCCACGGGGGATTCAACTCTTGTAGCAATATTTATTTTGTTCTACATATTTTTAGTGGCAAACCTAACAGTAAATGCTTGCTAACAGTACTTAAAGGTTGATTTCCACTGACGCGTTTTTGGCTATGCACGTTAACGCAAGTAAATGTTAATCACGTAAATAAGATAGGCAAGATATAAATTGTTGAGATTAAAGTTAACGTGAAGTTGAGCGAGATTCTACTTTTACGCTTACGTGCGACCTTTCAGACTTTGCCTCTATTTTATGTGCGAACGTAAATTTTACGCACGTAGGCATGGAAAAATTACGCGACAGTGGAAATCAACCCTAACCCTGATCACGATAGTCAGTGCGCTTACTCCTATTATAAAGAAATATTTTGTGTAAACATCATAACGTGTACAATGTGGTTTTGGAAGATGGAATCTAATGTTGACCGGCCATAAATAACACATTTTCACGAAGAAAGAGATATCGCATTTACCTCCGACTTTTGCGATAATCATTAACATCCCGGGTCCCCTTGCGTCCCAGTTTTTGACGTCCCCGCTTCCCATACTTGACGTCCCCAAGTCCCCCGTCTCGTGTCCCCAAGTCCCAAGTCCCCACACACGCGTCCCGATGTCCCCGTCCCCCTGTCCCCGTCCCACTTTTATACACAGCCGGCTGGCTGGCACATCATGTCGGTCTCGACAAAATAACATTGACCTACAGGAGTTCATCTTCATAGAGTTGATCGAGTTGAATTATAAAAATAATTCACGATGAATGCCTGATGGGCCTGGATGTTGATTAGCAGTTTACTCATTAACTGGATACTCCCCAGTTGTTGTGTGAAAATGGTGGTAAACTTTGATTTCAACTTGTCAGAATAACTGGGGCCACCTAGACAAATATGTTGACGAATCGGATTTTATTACAGGGGAATAGTAATACAATCCGAGAAAGTTAGTAGTCAATCATAATTACCATGAAACAAAATTAACAACCTGGATCCAAATCAACCTACAGATGTGACCTTTTGAACCTGCTGAGGAAAGCACGTGTTTCCCCATGCAAGAGGTAAGTTAGAGTGAGTGACAGAGGCAAAACACATAAATGATATTATAGTTGTATTTTAGACTTGCAGTGGCCTGTTATTGCAACGCGTGGTAATTAGAAGCGAAGAAATAGGCCACTTGCACTATGAGGTCACGTGATCAATGCTTCCTTTAAACAATGAGTTGGAATCTTGCTGATGCCAAAAATTGACGGAGTGCATGAAAATTATCTTACACCCGAAATTTGAGGGGAAATGCATTTAAGTGAGATATTTTATGGCACTTTGATTTTTCGACAAATTAGTATGATTTGTATTGGCCACCATGTTGGAGGGCATACTCTTGCCCTCCAACATGGCAGCCAAAACTACTTTTTGCTTGTATCTTAATTGTTAAAGGTTTGATAGTTACGCTCAGATGTGCTGAAAACAATACCAGTTACATCTTTTCAACAGTTTCCTTGAAGTTTATAAGTGCAAAATTTCTGTTCAGAAAGAGGTAATTCACAGGTTTAAAAATCACATTTTGGTCACGTGACCAGCTACAAACTTAATCATTTTAAGAAAATGGTGTGGGTTTGAAAACTAAATCACTATTATTTTGTTTAAGATATGACCCACTTAAATGGTTTTTTGTAGGCAAAATCATATAACTTTCATTTTCATAAAAATGATGTCACATGACCTCTTAGTGCAAATGGCCTACAAGCTGTTATTTTGTCATCTACCAGCAATGTTAAAGAAATATGTCTCCTTGGTGTTGTATGCAAAGTTTTGAAAAGGAGAACATTGTTTGATGAAACATTTTGCTTTCCTGAAAAACGTTTGGTGTCAATTTTGATGTTTTACTTCAAGTAACTTATTGTTTTTTACGAGCTGTTGATTGGCCCACAACCAACTTTCTTGAAATGTATTGTTATTTTCCTGTAATCCGATTGGTCAGCTTTATCTAAGTGGCCCCAGTTACAGTAGTCAGAATGTAAGGCTATGTGGATAATTTCCAAAAAAGTGAAATGAATAATTTGTGGAAAATTTGACAGAATTGTACAAAATTTGATTATTCAAGACTCCAAAAGATTTCTGTAGAAATTAAAGGTAACTCTCTAGGAAGCTTCCACATTTTGAATTATAACCTGTCCCAGGCAACCAGAAATAAATGTTTTGGGGCAGAAATGAAAGTAAAAATAGTGAATCATATAAAACCTTGGAAGTGCAAGGAAGGTGACAGCTGTATTATTTTATTCTTCACTAGTTAAAAGATAATTCATGTTTGATTTGCCTAAAGCTAGAGATATACCGTATTTATTCGAATAAGCACCCAACCTTGAATTAGCGCCCACCTCGAATAAGCGCCCATCCTAAAGGCAGAAACATTTAATGAACGCCCAGCCTCAAATAAGTGCCCACCCCCACCCCGCCTCCCTCCCCCTCATACTCAAACTCAAATAAGTGCCCACCCCCACCCCACCCCCTTTCTGGTCCTCCCACCAGAAAAAACATTAATTAAGTACTAATAAGAGACTTGCCTGAAGACGGAGTTTTCTTCAGCGTATTTTAAAGGATGCTTTAAGTAGACAAATAAAAAAAAGGTTTATTTTTAGCTAAATTCAGGTAAATTACCTACATGTATGTATCACACATCTAATGGTGGGTAGATTAATATAACAAACGTTTTAAGGAAGGATAAGCAGAAAATTATATGATATAACCTTTTAATGAAAGCTTTTAATAAAAAGTTTATTTCTTAACTGGGAAATGCCTAAAAGATGAATAGATAGTTGTTATGCAGTTGTGTTTTATCTGCTGAATTTTACCCACCATGGCCACTTCAATGTTACCTGGGTGCACACATCTCTTGTTTCCTTTTTTGCATGCAGAAAAGTTTCCCTTTTCCACCTTTTCACATGCAACAAAGGAAAGAGCAGACATCTGCATGCATACAGGCTTGGAGGATGTCACTAACAAAAACTGTTTGCCAAACCTTGTCCTTATTGTTAATTGATGGTCTCACTCAGCTGTACAATATTGACATCATTGCAGCTGGTACCAATGTTGTGAAATTTGGGACCTTTCCACACTAGCAGACAAACTTAGAATTGTCTTTAAAACATCTAAACTGAAACTTGCATGGTGACAATTTTGTTTTTGAAAAATTGATTCGCACTGAAAACTATTTACTGTCAACAGCCCGTCACATCTGTCAACTTAATAGAAAGAATGATGGCTTTACAAAAAATGATTAAAAAGCCCTTGGTCAATGCCAGCTGGTTGTGAAGAGTTGGCCAGGGGACTCGAGCCAATCAGAAACAGAGAAATATTTTTATAATGATGAACAATGTTGTCTTGCAAAGACGTTAAATTTACATGCATAAACACTTTCTGAACCTTAAGATTTCTTTTCCTTTTTGTTCTTTAAAGTTCAGCTAAGATATGCTGTCAGGGGTGATTAATAATAACCTTTATTTCTAATTACTATTTGTATTATTTTCATTTTAGATTACAAAGAAAGGACAAGAATACTTTTATTTAATAATTTGAAACATGGAGGATTATTCCAGTGCAAAATTAAAAGCCTATGTTGAAGTTAGAGGTGGAGTAGTAAGTTTGGATCTAAGTGGAAAAGGACTCTCCAGAATACCTGATGCAGTCACTGAACTGACTGAAGTGGAGGAACTTAGCCTGTATAACAATAACCTTACTGAATTACCAACAAGTATTAACAAGCTGAAAAATCTTATCAGGCTTGATTTGATTGATAACATACTTAGAGAACTGCCTTCTGAGATTGTTGACTTAAAGGAGTTGAGGAGGATGGATGTGAGGAAAAACCAGTTAGTTAGTTTACCTGCCAGTATACAGAAGCTGAACCAGCTTGAGGAGCTGCACTTGTATTTTAACAAACTTACAGAACTGCCATCTGAGATTGGTGACTTAAAGGAGCTGAGGAGGCTGTATGTGAGTTTCAACCAGTTGGTTAGTTTACCTACCTGGAGTATACAGAAGCTGAACCAGCTTGAGGTGCTGCACTTGTCTGGTAACAAACTTACAGAACTGCCATCTGAGATTGGTGACTTAAAGGAGTTGAGGAGGCTGTATGTGAGTTTCAACCAGTTGGTTAGTTTACCCACCAGTATACAGAAGCTGAACCAGCTTGAGGTGCTGCACGTGTCTGGTAACAAACTTACAGAACTGCCATCTGAGATTGGTGACTTAAAGGAGCTGAGGAGTCTGAATGTGAGTTACATCCAGTTGGTTAGTTTACCCACCAGTATACAGAAACTGAACCAGCTTGAGGAGCTGCACTTGGAGGGTAACAAACTTACAGAACTGCCATCTGAGATTGGTGACTTGAAGGAGCTGAGGAGTCTGAATTTGAGTAACAACCAGTTGGTTAGTTTACCTACCAGTATACAGAAGCTGAACCAGCTTAAAAAGCTGCACTTGGAGGGTAACAAACTTACAGAACTGCCATCTGAGATTGGTGACTTAAAGGAGCTGAGGAGTCTGCATGTGAGTTACAACCAGTTAGTTAGTTTACCTGTCAGTATACAGAAGCTGAACCAGCTTGAGGGGCTGCACTTGGAGGGTAACAAACTTACAGAACTGCCGTCTGAGATTGGTGACTTAAAGGAGCTGAGGAGGCTGTATGTGAGTGGTAATCCTTTATCTATGGATGCAATACATGTTCCAGAGATGAAGAAAAAGGGAATGACCCATTCGGATATTACAGGTGGGTGTGGGAATAATTTTCAATGAATTTGTCATCAATAAGACAGTTTTTAGAATGGTACTTTTGTTGTTATAGATGTGAAATATGTCAATTTAAAAAAAGTGCCATTATTTTTTTCCTTCAGGTTTTAATAAGGCTCGAGCAAAATTAGGAATGGCCAACTAAACCTTCCTTCATACTTTGTGTAGTTAGTTGTCATGTTAATAGTTTCAGATGAAACTCACTCACTGTGGTATTTTTTTGACTGCTAATATCAACCTGCCCCCGCCCCCCTTCCGCCCACTAATGACTTCTGTTTATTGTCATTTACAAGAGGAAGGGAAAATGTTTTTTGAAAAGGCTAACGAAAACGTTTCTGAAGGAATTTTTTTTTCTTTGGAAGTTTTTTGTGACAGGATGTAAATATTTTACCCGACACCTTTTTGAAATGGCAAGCAAATTAAAATGTATACTTGAGGAAAGATAGTGTTTTTTTTAATTATTTTTCGCCTTTAACTTTCTTTGGATGTCATTGGGGCGATATCAAGTGAGAGCCCATTAATAATTTGTATTTTGTTTTAAGTTTTACAGTCAGTTATCGAGTAGAATAACGGTTATTGGTTTTCAGAAACAGGTCTCGCGTGGTTAGCGGTTAATTTACGCAAATAACTGTCCCCAGATAACTTAGCAAGATCTAATATGTTTTCCAGCAAAAAACTGCCTCGAATTGACTATTTAGCAATAATTGCATGAGGTTGAGTATTATGTGAAAATATTATGCAGATCGAGGAGTATTTTAGGTGGATAACCTCCTCCGATATCTGTATTATTCTTCATATCATATGAAAGCCGAATTCAGTAATTGTTAATATTATTCATTCAAAATATATCTAAGTTCTTAGCAAATTTTTCCTCCTCCCAGACTTTCTTCTAAACTTAGGTCTATTTCTTGGCACGGTTTCAGGATATTAATAGATGTTTTCTTGCAGATACTCCTCAAAACATAGAAAACGTCCATTGAGCAATATGCTTTGCGTAATCTTGAATTTCTTCCGTTCAGTTTTAGTCAGAAATTCAGTTATTTCGTCTTCGGATAGTCGTGAACGCCATTTTTTAGTTCACTCGTGAATAAGCAGCTACTGTAGGTACTCTGGGTACAGAGGTTTCTCTCACACGGGAGACACGGGGGGGACACGGGGGGGGACACGTCTTTTGCCGATGCGCGAAGGGTCACTAGAAAGACTTGACAGAAACCGCAAAACCGCGCATGCAAAGTCTCTTGCATCCTGTCCAGGCGGCTTAAGAGCCATTATCTGAGAAAATCGAGAATCACACGACACTCGTCAAAAAATCGATTTTTTTTTATTTTGCCAAAACATCCCTTTTAGTGACCTTATTAAAGGAAAAATAGTTTTGGGTTCAAACGATTCATTTTAAAGGAGAAATTAGGAAAAGTTTGAAAAATCGATTTTATGCTCGTTTTTCGCACAAAACACGGCAGGATGCAATGGCAACTTCGAGAGAAGGGTGAACGCGTAAGAAACATTCCCTGACATTGAAACTTCACCGAATTATTATTTTGTTCTTACTCTTGAAAATCCTAAAAGAAAATTTGATAAACAATGCTTTACATTTTTATAATCGACAAGTGTAAAGAGGTCATATTTGTGACGTTAGACGTGCTAGAAAATGAAGGCCAACTTTGACTATTAAAAAAGGCCTCTGGTATATGCCGCTTGATCATAAAATCAATATAAAATGGAACCTTGGCTTTTGTACTAACTTACTGGAAAGTTTTAGCTCTGGAAATCAAATATCATCCTGACACCAAAGCAAGCGGTGAGAGCAATTGAATTGGGAAATTTATGCAAATTAGACGGCTTGCGGACGGTTGTCAAACTAAAAGAAAGGTTTTACATGAAAGGATTACTCACCATTGCTTGTAACACGTTTTTACGGCAAGGAAAGTTATTTCCAACTTCTTTTGCGTCGTTTTGAGTCACAAAATATATAATTTTTAGCCAAAAGACAAACGTACGTTTGCTCAGCAACTGCGTCCGAATCCGGCCGTGAATCGAAATAAAGTCACAACACGTCGAAGCAAGAGTTACAAGAGTTTTTACTTCAGTCAGGAGGCAAAAGGAATAAAAATTCATCGCAAACTAATGACTTCGATTTTGAAAACCTTTCATCACTTCAATCGTTCGTCGGCTGATAATAAACATCGCATAAGATCGTATGACCTTTGGTGTGACCGGAAATTGGTCACACGCTTTAGTCACGTCATCATGCTGTCACGAAATTTTCGTAGCTGTTGTCAGCAATTTTAATACAGTTTTCACATTTTTTGACAAGAAATCCTCTCATCGCAGTAGAAACAGCCATGCATATTTATTTTTCTTTTATTTACCTACTAGGCTTTGAAACAGCTTTTTTGCCTTCGAAGTACTAAACAGGAGGGGTACCTCGGATTCCAAGTGTCGTGAGTGATCCGTGGAAGCGAAAATTAAGACCAAAAAAGAACGAATATTTTGAATACTTAAGTAAAGCCACAGCTAAAAAAAAAAAATTGTTCAAAATATTTTCAAACTAAGAAAAAAACATACTTCGATCATCCCCGTGACTTGGAATCTGGCCAGAGTACCCCCTCCCCCTCCCCTCCTCCCCTATGCCGGGTCAAAATACTAAGTTCCCCCGGCCCAATGTCCCATAGTCAAGGGAGTATACTCTCTTGCTGTAGTAAAGAACTTGCAGAATAATACCAATTCTCCGTGGCCAACGGATTCAACGCTACAGTTTACTTTTGGTTTTGCTTGTTGATTTTTTCGCTATTTGCTCACGATCAGGAGCCTATAACCCCAACCACGACCAAATTATGAAACCTGTTATTACCAGAAAAAAAAAACACAAAGAAACAGTCAGTCAGATAGACAGTACATAATTAAAAAGACCTCGACTAAGATTAAAAAAAATCAATACATGACACTGTCGAATGCGAAAACCCAGAAACCATTTTGTGGAAAAAAGGTTCGCATACAGCTATCAGCTGCTTTTGTCCACAACTCGCCGGTAGAGGTGCGCGGAAACTAGTGATTGTGAAATGGCTTCAAACTATGATCCTATACTGTTGGAATATTACTTATCACAGAAAGCTACACCTGATTTCTTCTAGCAGACCCAATCCTCTTGGTTCGTGTGGACAAAGTAGCTCATCCCGGCTATTTGCACCATGCTACCATAGTCTCCCTAGATTCCCAAGCCTCGCAAGCAGACCTTCCTGTCCCACGAACGTTGGGTAGGATTGTAGGACGAGCCAAAAGAAAGTGAAGGCTATAGGCTCTCGCGATGATGCAAGGAAGGTCGAGTATTATATTCCCCTATCCTGGTCGCCCAGGGTAAGTCTGCGGAGGAGAGTGACTGAGGGGCTGTATGTTCGAAAAGTTGACTAACGCCCCCGGGACTAACGCTTTCACCCTGCTTCTTCTTATTCGCTTGATAGTGATTTCCTGTTGTTAAACGTTTGAACAACAGGGCCCTAAGTATTGTGTTTCGTCTTGCACTAAAAACCCATAAACCTTATAAATTTCACTATGGGACTTCAACACCTCCCTTGAATGATCCATTTCGCTAAACGGGACCTCAAAACAACGATTCTGTGTATCCTAAGGGAGTGTATACTATACTTTCCTGGCTCTCGTCACTCACAGTGAGGTGATGGTGGCTTACACAGTCCAACCTCCATGTGCGACTGCCAATCCAAAAGACCAAATTTTCCCAGTCAAAGCCTTACAGTTGGAACTTCCAGTAAACGACCACCTTCTGTAAGTGACTGCGACCACTTTTTGGGCGTCACGGTTAATTGTTTTCCATAAGCGACCAGTTGACGCATTCTCTGCTCTCTATTTTTGCTGTGTGCACTATGTTCCTTAGAAAATATGAAGACCTTTAGCGACATCGTGGAACTACACATATCCTAACTTAGTAGATGTAGCCAACAAAGTGAAGATTATGTTGTGATTCTAGACTATTCTATATCTCACTCACCTGAATCCCTCTTTAAATTGAGCATGATTTAAAAGCTGTATTTGTCAAAAGAGGTAAAAGATAATATTTTGCCAGGAATTTGTTACACCGCCATTTAATAGAATGTGCCTGGACCTCTTCTCGGAATAGACCCCATGTGGTCCGATTCTTCTAAACGACCACCTCCCGTTAGGGACCACTAAGTCTTTGCATTTTTGGTGGTCGCTTACTGGAGGTACGACTGTATTACTTTGACCTATCAGAGGCTTACCGATAATAAAGGGGATCTGGAAGGGGGCATGGATGCGACAATCACATGCAGGTCGCTTACTTAAAATAGTAGACATCTAACTGACAATCAAAGTTTGTGCTTATTATTGGGGTTATCTGGTGTTTACTCACCTCCCAAGCTACCCTGGGCGAGCCAACTTTTCCTCCATTTCCTTACAAAACTTGGTAAACCATTTACATGAGAAACAAAAGGTTGGTTCGGATAGACGCCTTACTACCAGTAGTGGGCGGAGTTGAGGGCTTCCGGAAGTCAGCCCTCCACTGAGCCGGTAGTGGTGGCCTCACCCTTCCAGCCCGGCTAATATTTCTCCACTTTGGCTCGCCCAGCTACAATCGGCGACAAAATGAGTTGAGACACTTCGCCCAAAAGTAGGCTTTTTTACGTTTTATGAACTTCAAAAGGAGGAAATATAGCTTTCCTCCCCCATCCCCTCCGTACAATGTTGTGCCCTTGTTCTAGCTACCTATAGAAAACAACAAACACCCCAACTTTGAATGGAGGGGACAGGGGAGGGTGCGGATTCGTTTGTTCTCCGAAGTCACCCTATTTGTCTCAACAATTTTGTCGCCGATTGTAGTTGGGACAACACGGTCAAGGCTAGACAAAGACAGCATGCGCAAGCACTGTTGACTCGGACAAAGTGGTCAGTTTTTTCCTCATATAAACGCTCGCAAAAGTTGGCTCGGCTGGGAGGTTGACCTTCTCTCCGGCACAGCTTTTCTCCATCCATGGGTTCCAAACAGTCTTTTAGCAGTCACGTTTGAAATTTATAGGAAAATGATGTAGCACTTCAAAAAATAATAATAATAAAAATACACTTTTTTCACAGCCTGTCAATGCCTAGAAGGTGTCTATAAAAGAAATCAACTGCAGAACAGGAGTCAATTTCAGTTTTTTGCGCTTTTCACGCTAGCACTGCGAAGCGGACTGGGGGCGCGAGACACGCGCGATGCATGGGGAACAAGTTCTGCAGGCTATAAAAGAAATTAAAAAATAAATAAATAAATAAAGCAGGCCTGATTTTATTTCGATGAGTCTATTTTTTGTCGAAAGCAAACGTGAAAAATCGTATTAAAATTCGTGACAGTATGCTAACGTGACTTGAGGGTGTGACCGATTTCCGGTCACACGCCAAAGGTCATACGATCTTGTGTGATGTTTATTATCAGCCGGCGAACGATTGAAGTGATGAAAGGTTTTCAAAATCGAAGTCATTAGTTTGCGATGAATTTTCAATCTTTTGGCCTCCTGACTGAAGTAAAAACTCTTGCAACTCTTGCTTCTAAAGGACCGCAGTGACGTGTTGCAGGACGTAACATGTCGATAATTCCGATAGTCGATAAAAATCGATCGTTGTCGATAAAAGTTGATACTAATTAATCGACAAATATCGGAAATCGATAAAAGTCGATCACGAAATTTCTTGTGATTGTCGATTTTGATCGACTTTTGGTGTTAGAGTTCGATTTCAATCGACTTTTATCGAAAAGTATCAAAAGATAAAAAACGATCATATGTAGAGCTATGTATGTATGCTTCAATGTTTTATTTTGCACTGTCACTAGAGCTGAGTAGAGAGCTACAAGAAAGGGAATTTATTATTCTTAAAAAAGGGTTGAGTTTGATCGTCCGAGTGAACGTAGTCTTGAATAGGACTGTTGTTGTTGACAGTGACTGACGTTTCGACAACCTGTGCGGTGGTCATCTTCAGAGTCAAAGTGAGTTGTATCACGTCAGTTGATGGTATTATACTCTGGTTATTGATCTGATTGGTCAATTATGTCGCGATGTAGTAGCCTCTGTTATCTTCCCAGTAAAAACTCCAATATTAAACAACTCACCCCAACTCATCACTGAAATTATTTAGAGGTCGAACAGAAAAGTACCGGCAGATGTACTCCATTACTTTTGCTCCTCGTCATCACGCTGCACTCTTTCCGAAACCCTTCACTTATCAACGCAATAAAGTAATTGGTAACAAAACATACAAAATTTCTTCAGCTCTGTTTATGTGTATCAGAACGTACACTTTCGAGTTGTAAGCTAAACAAATATACAGTGTTGCAAAGTCACTACTTGACTATCCAATTATCAACAACCAAAGGAGAAAAGCAAAGCAGGGCCTGTACAAGCCTGGACAATACAGTGGTGGATCCAGCGAACAACAATAACCGGCAGTAACTGAATAAGAGTTAATTACATCTGAGTACTTTGTCTGCATTTGTTCTTTATATATCGTAGCATTTTCACCATCTCAGGGCCCTTTCAAAGATATATACATAAGGTGTGTACCGGTGCTGACCAAAACAATCGCGGCGGAGGACCGGAAAAAATTGCGAAGCGACAGAAGCGATATTGAAAGGCAGGTACAAAAGTCGGACCGGATCAACTCGGACTGCCAGTCCGGGTCGGATCAACTCGGATCGACTCGGACCAACTCGGATCGAATAAAAAAATAAAAATAAAATAAAATTGGACTCGGATCAACTCAGATCATTAAAAAAAAACAACAACTCGGATTATAAAAAGAAACATAAAATCAGTCGGTATCACTTAACTTTCACCCGCCATTTTGTTTTTTTTCTCACGAACTCGTGGTTGCGTAAATTAATTTTATTTTTATTAAGTTTAATGATACACTAGTGAGCAGCACACATAAATTTCCAGTAAACAAAAAATTTCCACTTGGAAGGAGGAGAAACCATGCTCGCCCGGGACAAAGGAAATTTCCATGCCCCGGGTAAGAATCGAACTCGCGACCATCCCCGTTCAGTGGTTGGAAAGTTCGATTAACATGTGGTATTCGGAGGGTCGTGAGTTCAATTCTCGCCAAGGGTACGAAAATTTTCGTTGTCTCGGGCAAGCATGATTTCTCCTCCTTCCAAGTTAAAAATGTTCACTGGAAGTGTATGTGTGCTGCTCACTAGTGCATCCTTAAAATTAATAAAAATTAAAATAAAATTAATTTATGCAACCACGAGTTCGTGAGAAAAAAACAAAATGGCGGGTGAAAGTTAATTGATACCGACTGATTTTATTTTTCTTTTTATAGTCCGAGTTGTTGTTGTTTTTTTTTTTTCATAAACCGAGTTGTCTTTTTTTTTATGATCCGAGAAAGATCCGAGTCCAATTTTATTTTATCTTTATTTTTTTATTCGATCCGAGTTAGTCCGAGTCGATCCGAGTTGATCCGACCCGGACTGGCGGTCCGAGTTGATCCGGTCCGACTTTTGTACCTGCCTGATATTGAACGCAAGTGGTGCAAACCAAGGCGCATTTCTTCAGATTTCTTGAGGTAAACATTCGGTTCCGGATTGAACAAGATAACATCTGCTTTTTTCAGGTTTTAATGCAACTTTATTCAGCTTTATTGCCATTATCAGCGCCGTACAACGTTTTACACTCACGATGCTTATACAAAGTATCTCTGTTCCCTTGACATGTTGTTGTCGATAGAAATCGATAAAAGTCGATACAAATCGATAGCCAGCCCTGAGAACTTTGTGATTATCGACTTTTATCGACAAATTAAACTAATCAATCGACAATTATCGACAATTATCGAGCACTATCGACTTATCGACTAGCTTTTCGATGATCGATTTCGATCGACATGTTACGTCCTGCGTGTTGTGACTTTCTTTCGATTCACGGCCGGATTCTGGCGCAGTCGCTGAGCAAACGTGCGTTTGTCTTTTGGACCTTTTGGCTTAAAATTATGGATTTTGTGACTCAAACCGACGCAACAGAAGTTGGAAATAACTTTCCTTTCCGTAAAAACGTGTTACAAGCAATGGTGAGTAATCCTTTCATGTAAAACCTTTCTTTTAGTTTGACAACCGTCCGCAAGCCGTCTAATTTGCATAAATTTCCCAATTCAATTGCTCTCACCGCTTGCTTTGGTGTCAGGATGATATTTGATTTCCAGAGCTAAAACTTTCCAGTAAGTTAGTACAAAAGCCAAGGTTCCATTTTATATTGATTTTATGATCAAGCGGCATATACCAGAGGCCTTTTTTAATAGTCAAAGTTGGCCTTCGTTTTCTAGCATGTCTAACGTCACAAATATGACCTCTTTAGACTTGTCGATTATAAAAATATAAGACATTGTTTTTCAATTTTTCTTCTAAGGTTTTCAAGAGTAAGAACAAAATAATAATTCGGTGAAGTTTCAGTGTCAGGGAATGTTTCTTACGCGTTCACCCTTCTCTCGAAGTTGCCATTGCATCCTGCCGTGTTTTGTTCGAAAAACAGGAATAAAATCGATTTTTTAAACTTTTTTTAATTTCTCCTTTAAAATGAATCGTTTGAACCCAAAACTATTTTTCCCTAAATTAGGTCACTAAAAGGGATGTTTTGGCAAAATAATAAAAAATTCGATTTTTTGACGAGTGTCTTGCGATTCTCGATTTTCTCAGAAAATGGCTCTTAAGTGGATAAATCTATGGGGAGGTTAGTCACCTTCGCAGCCGTTATTAGGGTTGTCACGCAACGCTCCTCCCCGCTAACGGCTGCGAAGGAGACTACGGGGAGGTAAGATTATTAAGAATTTAAGACGGAATCCATCAGGAAATTGAGTAATTTTAATTTTCAGTGGACAAAAACATTGTACCAGAATCATTTAAAGAATTTTGCATTCTTTTTCACATTTTTCAAGGGCTAAAGATGTAATAAATCATCTGTGGTAACACCAAAGAAAATTTCTCATGGAAGTCCGAGAAAACGAATGTCAAATTTCACAAGAATTGTGATTACACAGGTGAAATTCTGAAAATTTCATGTGTAAGATGTAATTTTGTAAAATTTGACATTCGTTTTCTCGGGTTCCGATAGGAATTTTTTTTGGTGTTACTTCAGATGTTTTATTACATCTTTAGCCCTTGAAAATGTAAGAAAGAATGCATTTAATATGCTTTAAATTATTCTGGTACAAGATTTTTGTCCATTGAAAACCAAAATTACTCAATGTCCTTGTGGATTTCGTCTTAAAAATAGTTTGAATGACTAAAAGGTCATTATTGAATAAGACTGAGTATCATGTGAAGAGTTATGCAGATCTCGGCGGCTGTTATCATTCCACTGATAACATCCTCCTCGAACTGCATAATGATTTATATCATTCAATGTTAAATATTCCACAGCGCTTTCGTAGGTTACGAGATTTCAGTTAGCCAACGAAACGCGGGATATGCGAACGTTCTGTTTCATTTCTCAGGGACTGCCCATACCTCTTGGGATCCACTGCATGGTAACCGGCCCAAAATGGTGTTCCGTTCACGCCGTAAGTACCCGATATGCAACTGTGTACATAGTTACTCCATTTCTCCCTGTCAGACGCCATTTTTTGAAAGCATGCGCTTTGCAACGATTTCAAAGCCTTGGATGGCCACAGAACTAACAAAAACGGTGTGCACACAGGGGCCCGGCGCCCACTTTCATGCCCGAGCCTTGTACTCGGGCACCGGCAGCACCATGTCCGAATTCTAGCGTGGGTGTGCTTGGAAAAAGGGTGTGTTCACATTAGTGCCCAGCGAGTACCGTACTTGGGCACCAAGTGTGAAGGCTGCATTACTTTTCCGCGTACAACAAAGGAAATAGGACACGTCTGCCGGCACGCAGGCTATTTGTTCCATTGATGTCGAATTCCGATTTTAATAAAACAGAACAGTTTTTTGTGTCGGCATAAAAACTGAAGCTTTCTGGTATGCTGTATGCGTAGACATACGGACATATTCAGGTTTATCCTAATTTATCTTTTCATTGCATCTTATGTTCCGCAAGGAAAAAGGGAAAAGCCTTCGTTCGAACAAACTGCTGAAACTGGAATGCTTTCGAAAGCTGGCAAAGAGGAAGAAGTTGTTGAGACAGTGTTACCTGTGAAAGCCGCTAAAAAAGAGGTTGTAGTAGAGCCTGAGGATGAAACTGAAGTTGAAGACAATACTTATGTTGGCGAAAGCAGAATTGTCATTACAAGGTAAGTACCGTTTGAATAAAATTCAGTGGAACCTCCGATGACGGCAACGGCAGCGAATAGATAAGATTTGATAACTTTATTACCTCACCTCGGGATATCTCAAATGATAAAAAAGTATTTGCAAAATTATTGATAATCATTTATAAAATTGAGCGAAATAAATATTGCAAAAAGCTAAGACTACTTAAGGTATATATATGTACAGTATATATAAAAAAGGAAAAAAAAAAAAGACATTTTGCTACATCGCAACATCGTGATTAGCTAATAAATAATTCACGTGATAACTTTTGTCGCTAATGCCATTAAAGATTTGTTCCGATAGTTCCCACAAACCATTTGAATCAGGTTTCGATGATTTTAAAACGATTGAGACCGGCCTTAGAGGCGTTGATACTTGCTAAACATCGGACTGCTTATGGTAGCTGGTTACAATATTTGATAATCTATTTCTAAAGAAGTCATGCGCTGATCTTAAGGAATGATGCGAAATGACTGGGAGATTGCGCGTGTGGTATGCTGAATTTTTCCCGAACCCTGAACATATTTTGGCTGTAATCTACCAAGCCTTTCATGATTTTGAAGGTCTCAATTAAGTCACCACGCCTTCTGCATTTCTGTAACATTGCTAATCTGATACGCTGTAACCTTTGACGATAAGGGAGTAGACCCATGCCTTCGAAAAGTTACCACAAAGTACATTTGTGTAAAGGTGCCTCCGAGGCATTACTTGTCGACCTCTGCTGAGTCGTTTAACGCTTCAGTTTTCTGAAACTGGTGATAAAAGAAGCCCTATACCTATAACAAGCTTGAAAATTTTACCTCAATAGAGAGAAACATTCTTGTTCCGCGCGAGATCAGATACCGTGACGTCTCGTTCTCGGTAGCTTTTTCTTTTTCACCCTTCCCCTGAGAGAAATCGACCTTTCCTCTCTGGAGAGCGTTTTTTAAAAGGTCCCGTTTTCGCGAGTGTTTAATTCTGATGAGTTATATCTGTAGACGGAAGACTAATTCCACGAAAAAAGATGCTTTTTCAAAGAACCGAAAAAGGCGTCTGCTCCCGCAGGCTTGGATACATGTGGACGCGCCTAATGTTTTTAATGTCTTTTATTATTATTTTGCGCGGGTGGGTGCACCGTGTGCACTCAACATCTACAACATACCTTTTGCGTAGAGGTTCAAAAAGTCTATATTTTGTCCGGCATTTTGAATTTCTAGCGTTTTGCGAAAATTGTTAGGACATCAATCACGATCTTTTCAGTGTGCTTATTTTCACCGAAATAGTAAGCATAATTATACATGGCGGACAAGCATCTCACTGAACGTTGCTGAGTCATAATTTGTTAAGTGTTCTGTTTTTCACAATGGAGAATTGTTTGAAATTCGACAACGACAGACTTTGTTTAGCCGGTTTCTTTGCTCTACGCTAAGGGTAAGTTATCCTAATTTTTGGAGGATTAAAGCAGCTAAGAATTGATGGTGAATAATAGACTGAGTTAACATTATATTTATATTCTGGTAGGACGATTTTTTTGCCTTGAACTCGTCATTTAGAAGAAGACTAGTATTGACCCACGCACTGCGTGCAACAAATCCATTATTGTCCAGTCTCTGTCTCATATGCCTCCAAAAAAATTACATATTATATTCTCCATTTTATTGTAGATTTTACTCGAACATTGAACAACCATAAGCTATGTTTTGAAAGCAACCTACTTTTTGAAATTTTGACTCATTGCAGAGGAAAAATGTCGAGTGAAGGTAGCCACTGGGCCCTCAATTTAGGGGCTGTCCATCTTATATTCCATCCTAATGCTGTGTCTGAGCCTACGTCAATAGTGGTCTACAGATGGAAATCCAGTGTCTGCTCACCCCCACTACAGGAACATGAGGCCATTGTCAGCAATGTTATTGAACTATCTTCCCACGATGGCCAACGCCTGCAATTCAATACCATGGCAACTTTGTCGCTCTCTCACAGCGCACCGGACCTACGGGGCTACGAAGTGGTGATAAAACGGCAGATCAACAAAGAGACCAATGAATGGCAAGACGTGAGTGGAACCAAGGACTTACGCTGTCGCCAAGGTAATGTAGTAGACTTATGGCAACTATAGAGAACCGTTTGGCAGACCCTGTTTCCCTAAGCGGGTGGCGGTGTACGTCATCCGTATTGCTGAAGGGTTTGTTTTGTTTTGTTTTGTTTTTTTTTTAGATAGTGTTCATATCAAGTGCCGATTGCGCTCTCGATCTGAATCTTGTGTCCAGTCTTGATTTCTATAGCGTCAGTCTTTTTTAGATGGCAAAGGAAGTAAAAAAAAGAGCATAATTATTATGATAGTTACATTTTACCTGTATTTTTTGTCGGTAACAGACATCGAAGATGAGCGCCCTTCTCACAAGGATATACCAGACCTTTTATTCCCCGTTGCTCAAGCTGACATAAATGAGTGCTCAATATATGCAGTGGTTTGCCGTCTCAAATCTTCTCCGCCTTACACCATCACATCTACTGGCGGTTTATTCATTCATCCTGATTATCCAGGCGTGACGGTTACTGTCCCCGAAAATGCTGTTGCTCCCGAGTCACCGTTTACCCTGGAGTTAAAGGTTGGTGTGATTCAAAAGCTCCATTTATAAAGAAAGTGTTATCATAAAGGCTTTTTAAAGTGATACGCTTTTTTAAAAAATGACGATCTAATAATGACCAGTCTAGAGGGCTTGACTGAAAAATCGTTTTCTGAATATTGGAGAGATCTTTTTGTTACTTGAATTACGTTTTTATTTAACTTATGGGGAACCTAAGTCAATTTTAAGGCCTAAAAGAATACATGAAATTAACTGCTGATGATTACTCTTTTAAATGGTAAGGTGCAAGAAGTTCCAAATGAAGAATTTGGAGAGGAAGGTGTATTTCTTGGACCTATTGTGCGAATTAAATGCTCTGAGGTTGTCCAGTTCTTTAGGCCCGTAACGATTCAGCTGCCAGTTTCTCTTCGAGACCAGCAAGACTTTAAACCAGATCCCACTAAATGCCATGTGAGAGTGTTGTTCCTGAATTGCGAGGAGGAAAAAAGGGAATGGACTGAACTCACTGATCTGGTGAAACCTGCACAGTTTGACGGGAGTTTTGTTAGGATCCAGGTCCAACGATTTTCTGGGTAACGAAGCTTAGAAAAATCATTAGTATCTTTAGTATTTACGAGATAGATGGAAAGTTGAACCCTTTTTAATCCAAAACGTTGATTAAACCTCATTCAACGTTATTGAATGCAACATTTTCGGAGCCGTGTGAACAACATGTTGAACAGTGCTGTTGTTGCTAGATCTTTAGCATTTAACATCGTCAGACATTTCTTTTGTTCAGGTGTGCGATTAGACTTTCAAAAAAGTCCTTCGTCGGATTTCATATGGCGCGGGACGACCTTTAGCGACTTCGTCGCTCGCGGTCGGCCGCTTCGAGGCCAAACAATGCTCGCTCCGCTCGCCAAGAGGTCGACTTGTAGCAAGTCTAGTGTGCGATGGCCTCAATGTTGAATGGGCTAACGCTCAATTAAACTTTGTTTGCATCAGTCATGGTCTGGAGAGGAGGGGTGGGGAGGGGTGCTGATCCCGCATTCGCTCTCTTTTTCCACGAAAATCTGGCATCCCGCACCTTTTTAATGGCTTTCCCGAATCCCGTTTTTTGTTTTTGCTTTTTTTTTTGGAAAGAAAATAAATGTAAGATGTAGATTTGGCCTTTCGATTGATATTTTGAATTATACCTTAGTATGACGAAGCGGAGGAAAAGCAGGAGCGGAAGAAACCAAGTAATCTGGGACCAAGCTCCGCATTGGGGGAAAAAGAAAACAAATCGGCGAGCGAAGCGAGCGGAGAGGCCGGTCTGGGGAAGGGAAAGGGTGGCGTTTTTTCTCCCTCCTCAGGCCATCGCTCGGCTCCCTTCGCTCGCCGATATTTTTCCTATTTGACCCCGTATTTTACCTTCTTCCCCCACTACTAGAAGAAACGAAGAGGGAGAGGGGAGGATTCCTTCCCTCTCTCTTTCCCAGCCACGACTCCCTCGCTTCTTTTTCCTGCTCAATTTTCTTTGGGCCTTTGAACGACTGGAGTCGTTGTCTGTGACCGCAAGAATAGAGGACTGACCAAACTATGGCTGTCTGATTCAAGGGAACAGAGATGGGAACATCGTGCTGCTCGCCATATCTTAAGTTAAATATCTTTTGGTCAAATTCCGGATCCCGAATACACCCTTCCAGACCATGATTATTGTTTAGTAAGCAATACCTGTTCAATTCACTCTTTCTACTCAAGCCCCTATTCAACGAAGTTGGATGATCACTTCGTTGCATCCAGTTGGTGGGTCGGCCTAAACGCACCTTTAGATTCTTGAAATGCGTCCAAGTAATTAACGAAAATGCCGGTACTTCTTTGAAAGCATCCCTGGGTCAAATTATAAAAACAATACCCATGCAAGGCGATATTAGCTACATCATTCTGCCTGCCTTTCAGGTGGGTAGCAAAAATATCAACACAAAAAGTACGAAAAGGACGTTTTTCCTTTTCAGTCTACTGGAAACTTTTTCTTGGGCTCGGCGATTTACGTAGAATCGTCTAAGATTCGACCTTAACCATTTCAAGGCTCCTAAAAAATCCATCCACCCTGGTTGACATTAATTTTTTCAATTATTTCGTTCTAGATATTCGTGTCTTTTTGAGCGGCTTGAAGAGAACTCCAGGGCTCATTGGCTGTGGATCTTAAGTTACCTTACCCGCTTCACTAGAACGCAGCCCCGAGCAGCAAGTTTCGTCGCTTACTTTCGTCCACATATTCCAAACATTTTGTCCCTTATTTGTTGCTCTGCTCACCTTAAACAAGAGGTAATACAAGATCTTGAAAAAAGAGACGTAACGTTTGCTGATGGCATTTCGATGAAAGATATGATACCTGGAGAGGACGGCGACAAAGCATTTGTGTTTTTGTCAGGAAGAATACGCCCATTTAATGAGGAGGACGTAAATAACATTCATCTCAGGTAAGCTCATTTATTATTTATTCAAAATATTTCCCCTTTTCTGCTTAGCTCAAATCCCACGGCTAATTCTTGACAACCAGCTAGCGTTGACCAATTTGGAAGATGTTTACAATATCCAGAAAATGACGTCAATAGTTCAGCGTAGTGATGAGAGTTTGAGTCGTTTTTGGTAGAGCAGTACAAAATGGTGGAACATCCATCACTGTGCTTACTTTTTAAGAACAGACCGTTCTGAACAGTCATCATTAATAGTTGAATTCTCCACGGTGACTGGACAGTTCTGGTTTCAAGATTACAAGGATTACGCGACACTAGTATCATGCATGTTTCTCTCTTACATTTAAACAGGTTATTAGAAGGCGATATTCCGTTTAATACTGAATTGCGAGTTCGTCTCGTTAATGGCGAAGACCTAGCGCAAGTGGAATTTCGAAACAGCTTGACACACACTGACAGAACGCGTTTGTTGTGTAAATTTCACTTAACTTTGCCCTCCCGCAAAATGCCCCGCGCGGTAAGTATAACTTATTATTTTAAGCTTGAGCATTTCGACTGTTCAAATCTCTTACTAGTTGAAAAATTAGTTTATACTAGTACATGAGAAATTTCTGTAATCTGATTGGCTTAGAGCAGTGGTATTTCAGCTTAATTTGAAATACCTACATGTGAAAATTACAAACCTTTTGCGGGTAGTAGTATAAACAAATAATAGCATGATTTGTACGCGATATTTGGCATAATTACCACTGGCGATATTTCAAAATTGTCTCAAATTTCACTCGCCTAACGGCTCGTGTAATTATGTATAACAATTTCGAAATATCACTCGTGGTATTTATGTCAAATATCACCACAAATCATGCTATTACCTATACTTATGTCAGTTATTTAACGGAGTTTAGGCAATGTTTAACAACTCCACCAGTACCTCGTTCTAAGTCATTTTAAATTTGGCCAACGCTATTATCTAAACACCGTCCATGGGAACAATTTCATGAAAGCATATAGTGTGGACTAGAAAAGTATTTGTCTGGAGATTCTATGATTTCTTAAACCGCGGCCTAAGTTAGAGTTCGTTGAGATAACCAACACTTTAATTGTATTGCAACTTAAGAGTGAATGAGCAGATTGCTCAAGATGCACTGTACTTGTAAGTTGTTTCTCGTAGAACTTTTTTCTGTCCAAGCAGTGAAAAAGTTTACTCAAATTGTTACAGGTATTAAAATTAAGATCATGCCATTTGAAAGACAATCAAGACTTTCCTCTTAATTAATATTTAATAATTAATAATGAAAAACATTTCGCGACGCAACCACTGTTTTGCGCGCGAAATGACGTCTGAGAAACGAGTGTAGAAGTTCCATACTGATGACGTGCTTCTACCCAGATCTGGGTAGTGCTTCTGATCGGTTAAAGCAAATTTCCATCCAGTAAGAAGCACTACCCGGATCCGTAAAACCTCTCTGACCCTGATTTGCAATCAAGGTGTCTGTATGCTATTCAGTAATTATAATTTTCTACCTTTTATGCCTTTCCAGGCAGATCAGGATTTGGAGGAGCCCGTACGACAGCCTGCAGGTAAGTTTTCAGTTTTTCATTATATATTTCCTTTTCTTTTCCTCAAATTTCATTCAGTTTCAGTTTGAAGATATTGCCCTATGATCGTCAGTAATCTGTGTCTGCAAGGTTAGCTAGTTTTAGCTCATCCTACAGAGCCTTTCTCTCGCTTGCTCAATTTTGGCGTACTAGAGAAAGACTCCTCATGAATGGAGTAAGATCTTTGTTGAGCATGCGCGACATGTTGCTACAGCGGGATCGGTTAATGACCATCGGTTTATCAAGAAACGGATGCTCGCACTCGAAAAACCGGTTTGACGAGAGAGAACAAGATTGACTAGCCCAGAAGTTGAGCTGTGGCGACCTCATAGGTTTGATGTGATTCAGGCAGAGCCTCCTTTTCTCCTCCTCACTCAAGAAGACAACAGGAGGCTCTGCTCGCGGGATGAGAAAAAAGATGCTTGAGAAAGACTCTACGTACATGATTCAAATAAGATCTTTCATGAGCATGCACGGCATGTTGCCAGGATATAGCTTAGGTCTAATAGCCAAGCACTTGCTACAGCGGGTTCGGTTGTGACCATCGCTTTATCAAATAGCGGGTACTCGCACTCGAATAAGCCTGTTTGACAAAAGATTGATTAGGTCAGAAGTTTGAGCTGCGGTGACTTCAAAGGTTTGACGTGATTCAGGTAGAGCCTTTTTTTTCTCCTCCTCCTGAAGAAGACAAAAGGAGGCTGTGCAGGGTGATCTTAGCTTTGCTAGAAGAAGAAGTCAAAAGTTGTCGTTCCCTGTTTGAATTTGGTTATTGTCTTTTTTAGTCTTCTTTCCTAATGTTAAGCGCTGTTTAGAGTATTTTAATCGTAATAAAACACGAAGTGTGAATTATTAAACAGCTTCAAAAACCTCTGTCTTACGTTTGTCTATTTTTCGAGTAATTTTTAGAGAAAAACTTAGTTTAAAACATAGCCGTGTTTTATCACTTTTAATGCTCATTCGAGCCATATCTAGCGGGGGGGGGCAAGGGGGGCAGCTGCCCCCCGGACCTGTTGAGTCAGACAATTCAAGTCTGTTAATGGATTTGTTTTCTTTAGACTTAGTTGTTTTGATTAGAGTGACTTGCAATTGTTTGCCATTTTCATATTCGAGGTCGATTTTTCGTAGACATATCTCATGACAAGTGCTTAAAATAGCGTTTCTGAGCCTCCAAAATTGAAAATTTTCTGGGGCAGGGTACCCCCCCGACCCTCTTACAAGTCTCTTGCGTTCGGCACTCGCGATAATGCCCCCCATTACAAAAAACCTAGCTACGGCCCTGTATCAGGGGCCCATGACTCTGTCAGATAAAAATATATAGCTTCTTCGCAGCGGACCAAGATACGACTCGGTACCGTATATGTTCAGCACAGGAAAAATGTGTAAGCTTAGCAGAACCTTTTACAACAGACAGTTAATTCTGTTCGCGCGTATTCCTGCTGAATTTGTTGTCCCTTTTATAAAATATAGTTTAGTACACTATCTGCTTTTAATATTTCCGTACAGTCTCAGAGTACAATGTTTAGAGCTGTACACAGCATGCATTTTATCACAGTATCACTGGGATAAAGCGTTTCATTTTCCAGGAAAATTTCACTTTCTCGTCAAAACAATCACTGCCTCAGACAGACTCGAAGTAGCTTACTTGAATTTAGTGTTCGGTACAGCTAACGGGGCTATGTTCTGTGAAATTTATCTACAGTCTGCGGCCCATATCACCACGATCCACGATTTTTTCTAACCAATCTCCGATCCTCGATCCTGATTTTCCAGTAAACCTTGAAGTTTTGATCATAAAGATTATTCTTTTTTTTTTTTTTTTCCGACCACTGAAGTAATCACTTGCTCCAAGGTAATGAACGCTTTCGAGGAAAGCTGTCCGTACAAACACATGCGTGACACATACGTAACGTTGGGGTGGATTTCCACTGACGCGTTTTTGGCTCCGCACGTTAACGCACGTAAATTTTAATCACGTAAATAAAATAGAAGCAAGATATAAAGTGTTGAGATTAAACGTGAAGTTGAGCGAGTTTCTACTTTTACGCTTACGTGCGACCTTTCATACATTGCCTCTATTTCATTTGCGAACGTAAATTTTACCCACGCACGCACGTAAAAATTACGCGACAGTGGAAATCAAGCCTTAGAAAGGTAGTTGAAGTTGCTTCCAGTAGTAAATACTTGATATCTCAAGTATTTATAAAGTACAAAGCGGCTTCACATCTTAACAACTGCGAAAATCTATCAATTAAATACATACAACGAAGTGAATCTATTTAACTGTAGAGTTCCAGTAATTGCGACAATATTCTGAGAAACGTAACGCCTCAATACACCACAAAACAGGATTTCTCTGCTATAATATTTTCTCATCCTACACGGGATAATTACTTTTTAATACGCGTGCATGTCGTGCATAATTACACGAAAATCAAGGACCTCGATTCGGGGAAAATTACATCATTGCCAACCTTACATGCGTCATTTCAGTCATCGCCGAAAATAAACCGCATGCTCATCACGAGACTCATTTGTATACAATGAAAGTCGTCACGATTCTTATCCCCAGTTTCCACGGTCTCCGTTAGGAACGCCTGGCCTACAATTTAGGTCCCACACAAAAAAAAAAAAGAAAAAGAAACGCCTGCATTTTTAGAGTCTCGCTCTTCTAAAGCGAGCTCGACTAATTAACACGAACTAGTTTCCTTGACAAGGAGAACGTGAACAAAAGTGCGTTTTAACCCTGATATCAGCAGGTGTATTCTCCACACTGTTTTCTATACACTACCTATACGCCAATTTAGGAACGAGAAGAAACCTGGGTCAAGTCAACTTTCGCAAAGACTTCTGGGACTGTTACTGGTACTACTTCGTCTTTTTCTTCTGACCGGCGCGTGCCTAGTAACGATCCCAGAAACAACTGCTGGATGCGTTTTGGCACCAGTTCCCTTCTCGTTTGTAAGTGGCGAATGGTGCTGATGCGAAGAACTTTTTGAATAGTCAAGAGCTTTATATCTGGTGATATTTTTTCTTATTCTCACGTTTTATATGTTTGATTGAGCAATGATATTTATCAGGAGAAATTGGATGCTTGTCATTCTCAGGGGTTAAAAAAGTTAACAGGAAAGCTAGACAAGTAGAAGCGTTAGTTAAAAATAAGTACTTTTCAGGGGGGTTCCGTGGAATTGTGACTGATTATGAGATAATCACAAAATATGGAATCGATGTATTGTGGCCATTTGGCCGTTTGCGTTTCAACGCACCGTGTAATACCTGTCGCATTTTGCAATAAATCGTGTCGTGTCGTAATAAAAAGGCTCTCGCAATGTTGTAGAACTATCCATGGCACTCTGTAATGAACTGAGCTGTCGCAATTTGTACTGAATAATTCCATCCCACTTTTTGGGTACTGAAGCCGCCAAACTGACATCATTCAAGTCTAAAACGTTGTACAAGGACATGACACTGCTCTAAGGCAACTATCAGCCGGGATAATGTCAAATACATACGAATGCAGTGTTCAAAATCTCACTTTTATTTTGTGTGACTCCTGCATTATCAGAAATTGTATAAGCTTTAATGCAAGGGATATCTTAAATTTACTCACTGCTCTCAAGAGGGTCTTTAGAAGCTTTCCAGTCAAGTTTCGGTGAAGTCTGTCCAGTTGAGACATCGAAGTCCACCAATCGTGAAACAGTCTTGAAGTGCATCAATTACTAACAGCCATATTATGGTGCTAACTTAGGGGCCGACAATTTGACTTTAGAGGGGGGGGGGTATTGGGGTTTTTCGGGAAAAAAAAAATTCCTCAAAAATTATTTTAGTAAAAAAAAAACATATTTGAACGATTATAAATAGATAAAATCCCTTGTTTAAATCATAATTTATTGTTTATTATGGTAAAAATTTTAGATAAATACCGACTAGTTTTCCAGTAAGTTGTGTGGGTGTGGTGTCCATGTTGAGACACGAACGCCCACAATGGGGAAAGATTTGTGAGGTTAA